AACTAAAGTTTCGTGTTACCAAACTATAGTTTCGTGTTACCAAAGTTTTGTGTTACTAAACTAAAGTTTCGTGTTACATAACTATAGTTTCGTGTTACAAAACTATAGTTACGTGTTACCAAACTATAGTTTCGTGTTACCAAACTAAAGTTTCGTGTTACCTTACGTGTTACCATACTAAAGTTTCGTGTTACCAAACTAAAGTTTCGTGTTACAAAACTATAGTTTCGTGTTACCAAACTATAGTTACGTGTTACCAAACTATAGTTACGTGTTACCAAACTATAGTTTCGTGTTACCAAACTAAATTTTCGTGTTACCAAACTAAAGTTTTGTGTTACCAAACGAAAGTTTTGTGTTACCAAACGAAAGTTACGTGTTAAAGTTTTGTGTTACAAAACTATAAAACACAAAACTAAAATTTTGTGTTACAAAACTATGAAACACAAAACTAAAATTTTGTGTTACAAAACTATAGTTTTGTGTTACAAAACTATAGTTTTGTGTTACAAAACTATAGTTATGTGTTACCAAAGTTTTGTGTTACTAAACTAAAGTTTCCTGTTACATAACTATAGTTTTGTGTTACAAAACTATAGTTACGTGTTACCAAACTATAGGTTCGTGTTACAAAACTAAAGTTTCGTGTCACCAAACTAAAGTTTTGTGTTACCTTACGTGTTACCAAACAAAAGTTTCGTGTTACCAAACTAAAGTTTCGTGTTACCAAACTAAAGTTTCGTGTTACCTTACGTGTTACCAAACAAAAGTTTCGTGTTACCAAACAAAAGTGTCGTGTTACCAAACTAAAGTTTCGTGTTACCTTACGTGTTACCAAACAAAAGTTTCGTGTTACCAAACTAAAGTTTCGTGTTACCTTACGTGTTACCAAACAAAAGTTTCGTGTTACCAAACTTAAGTTTCGTGTTACCAAACTAAAGTTTTGTGTTACAAAACTAAAGTTTTGTGTTACCAAACTAGTTTTGTGTTACCAAACGAAAGTTACGTGTTACAAGTTACTTGTACTAAAGTTGATCCTAGTTCCATAACTTTGCTGTAATGGTTTTCATAAATGGGACATTGTGTGTGCGTGTGTGTGTTTGTTTGGGGGGGGGGGGGGGGGGGTTGTAATGTTCAGTAAAGATAATTTAGAAAATGGGCTTCAGCACACTGCTGCTTCTGTACATACCGCCCCCCAAACCCACTCACAGCCCTCAACTCCCCAAGGCTTCTCTGCTTATGTTTGTTTTGAGTCTGCTCCCAGACTCGAGTGGAGGAGGTGGAGTAAGGGTGGGGGGTGACTGGCAGCGGGTGGGCTGGTTGTTTCGGTGAATCTTTTGGATGCATGGTAATGGTTAAGGCAGAGCAAATGTCTGGCAGCAAGAGAGAGAAGCAAATCATCAGCTTTTGGCCTTGTTCCTCCATCTCTAACCGTCTGCAGCAACACGAGGATCCACAGAAACTTCAAATTCAATTTCAAAAAGTCGTTCAAAAGTTTGTCTCAGGGCTTGGAAATGTAGAATTCTGCCACCCAATGAGTCCTGTAACAAAATGTTGTTTTTTCTCTGGGTTTCTCATTTGTGCCATTTGGGCAACGACAGAAACAGGTGTTCAGCTCACACAGACGACCTTTTGTTCAATGTGTTCATGACTCGTAAAAACCTCGGTGTGTGTGGAAACGAGCATCGAACGGTCTGAAACAGGAAGATCTGAAAAATCTCAAAACAAATGTGAGACGAACAAAGTCAGACAAAGTCCTGTTAGTTATGGTCATTACACACTGGCCGGCATTTGACCCATCCCCGTGGGGAGCGGTGAGCTGCAGCAGTGGCTGCACTCGGGAACTATGTGGCGGTTTAAACCCCCCCGATCCAACCCCTTAAAGCTGAGTGTCAAACAGGGAGGCATTGGGTCCCATTTTTATCGTCTGTGGTACGACCCGACCGGGATTTGAACCTCGATCTCCTAGTCCTTAGTGCACTGTGATTTAACATCGTGTGATTGTTCAGTTAAACAATGTTGATTATATATTTCTTCATCAAGTTGACACAGTGATAGCTTGATCTTGTTGTATTGTTGTTGTGTCCCTTTTTTTGTTTGTTTTGTTTGCTTTTTTTCTTGTCTCTTTCTGCAGGTCTAGAAGCAGATTCTTGTTCATTATTGTTTATTTTTGTGGAACCCCCCCCCCATCTTTTGTCTCTTCCTTTCTTTTTTCACCTCTGTCTCTGTGTCTGGTCGGAATTACAGAGCATTCAAAAAACAACAACAATAAAGTTTTAAGTATCAGGCGTGACATTAAAAGCAGACGCGTTGAAGCTCCACCTGAGAGTAAATCTGTAAGGCTTGTCACCAGCATTCAGACATCAATTCTGTTTGCTTCACAGCCAGACAGGACGGTGGGGGTGGGTGGGGGTGGGGGGGCTGAGTGTCAAACAGGGAGGCATTGGGTCCCATTTTATAGTCTTTGGCATGACCCGACCGGGATTTGAACCTCGATCTCCTAGTCCAGGGTGGACACTACCACTAGGCCTCTGAAGGTGAGAAGCTGAATTTATCCTTCAACAAACAACTAAAACAATAAGTCACTAATTTATCATGTATTAATTTATCTGAGTCATTCTGGTGGTTCACGCCCTCGCCGCAGGATAGTTTATCTGATTGTTGGTTTTATATTTTAATTTAAATTCTATAAAATCAAATAAAAATGTGTGAAACAGAAAGGTATTTAGTCCAGTTGGGCCTTTGCTGCCTTAGACTAGCTGTTAGCTCATCAGTTCTGTTGACTCCGGCTGTTCAGTAAGCCAACAGGGTAATATTCTGCTTTCTCAGGCTGGAAAATGGCTGAAACGTCTCTTTAAAGGACACATTTGCGGCCCTCCTCTTCACACAGATGGTATCTTTTTGACTTGAGCCCAAACTAGACTCCTGGTTTGCATCCAAGAAAAAGTGGGTTGAGCAACGACTAGACACTTAACATTCCTCACCGGGTTCCAGTTACACTCCTGCTAATCCCTGAAGTATCAGACAGTGAAAACAACCACACTCTGGACTTACTGGGACCTACCTCAAGCGACATTTTAATCAGAATAAACTGTTTTGGTTTTTATTTGCTCCTAATTCGTGCAGCAGGCCTTTAGCAGTCAGACGCCTTTTTTCACGAATATCGACAGTCGTCGATGTTGCGGAGCACGAATCTTCTCTGCTACTTGAACTTTTGTAAAGAGAAAACAGACAATAAAATACCTAAAACTTTAAAATTTTTTGTTTTAACTAATATTTTTCCTGCAGTTTCACGCTGTTGGGAGTAACTTGGGTTTTATATTTTCATCAAATTAGCATGTTTTTGGTCAATAGGTACATTTTTATTTTACTGTTTATAATAATCAACAAAAGGAGTTTGAAAGCAGTAGTGATGGGAATTCCGGTTCTTTTTAGAGAGCCGGTGTCGGTACAGGATCTGCTCGGGTGCAAAATCGGCTCGGGGTCCTTCGACTGCCGATGACGTCAAAGTACGGCAAACCCACTCGAACAAAATACACTACACATCTATACTATTGGAAAGAATTTAGCAGTTTCATTATTAAAATAATGTTTCTTAAGACGTAAGTTTGTGTTTATAATGGTATTTGTAAAGTAAAACACTATATTTTATTCATAATGTTGAACTCCTCTTTGAGCACATCCCTTGAAGGATCATAGGTATTAGCAACACCTGTGAAATAGTAGTGTGTCCCATTTATTGAAGTATTTTGTGTTTAGAGTTTTTGACGTCTTGTCCATGCGTAGTTCAGTTACGCTCATAGCTGCTAGCCAAAACTCTGGAGTTAAAAGTTTTCTGGCTTTACTAAAATACCTGTCTGTACTTATTTCATTTATGGTAGTTTTACTTTCTATTAGACTCCAAATGTAATCATTTGGCACGTTTCTAATTCATAATTTGTAAGAATGTAATCGGTGATATTAGCATTAGCCTTCCTATGGGTGTTTCCACGTATATTAGCATTGCGCTAACCACTCGCTGCCAAATTGCAGCCTTTGCGATTAGAAAATCTCCTTTTGTCACATCGCAATTTAATTGCACATGCAGTTAATCGTTCAGCCCTAATATACATGCAGCTCTATGCTAAAAGTGTATGTTCAAAGAGGTAATGATGGATTTCTTTGTAAAAGTTGTCCATCTTTCCAACAGAAAGATTTGCCTGGACCAACGTAACCTGATAACAACGTAACGTGATAACAACGTAACGTGATTACGTAATTCCGTAAGGTTCATGTTCAGCCAATCAACTACTTTGACGTCATCGGCAGTCGACGGACCCCGAGCCAATTTTGCACCCGAGCAGATCTTGTATCGACACCGGTTCTTTTGGCTCAGCTCACCAAAAAGAGCCGGCTCTTTTGGCTCCCAAGTGGCTCCTCAGATTTTCTGTTGCGTAGAGTACATTTATAACCAAAATAATGCAAAACTATATGTTAAATGATTTCCTAATGTAAAAATATGCAATATATCAAATATTTATCATTTCTATGGATTTAATAACTGAACACTTTAAGAAATCTCCACTTTCCGACTGCTGGCGCTCATTTTCTCACCGTCTTCGTCGCACTCTCCTCTCTCTCGCTCACCTTTTTCCTCCTCCTCATTCCCTTTCGTCTCCCTCCACCCCCATGTGCTCTGCTGTGTGTCTGAGTCTGACCCTCCCTCTTACCTGCCCCTACTGCTCTGTGTGTGGACAGTCTGGACACACAGTTACACATGTTGACCAATCGCCTGTAGCTTTCACCAAAACAAGGGGGGAGGGGACGGCTCCCGTCGTTCACTTCAAAGAGCCGGCTCTTAGAGCCGGCTCGTTCGCGATCGCGACCGACACATCACTAGAAAGCAGATTTTTCTCTGTAACCAGGCACATTTTATAGGTCAGAAAAAAGATGAGTAATTCAAAACATAATGAAAAGTTTGTTTACTTTTCTTAGTGAACAAATCACATGATGCAACTCTATCAGGCTAGAAGGATTTTATTGTGATTCCAAAGTGAAGGTTTGTTGGGTTGAAACTGAACAACAGTGAAATGTTTTCTCTAATGACTCTGATGATTATAAAATGCACATTCCTCGTTATCTAGCTTCATAATTTAACATAAAACGGCTTGATTCATTTCAGGTGGTGAAGAAAAAAGTTTTTTTCATTTTAATTTACCTTTTTGCAGCTTTCAGAGGAAAACTGAATCAGGCAGTAAAGATGCTGATTTGAATCCACATAAGCACCTAAATGGGAAAAATCTGATGTTTTCAGTTCAAAACACACAAAAAAAAAAGACTTCAAGGCATGTGGATCAACGCAAATAAACCTCGTTATGAATTTGTGCAAGAGGGTGAATCTCTGAGCTTTGTGCAGAATCTCACTGGGGCTGCGAGCATTGCTCACACACCGACAAGAGAGTCTCCAACAGGTCTTGAAACAATCATGGGTTTTCAGTTTTCTCTCATGACTTTTAAAATATTTGTAAAACAAAAGTCTACACAGATCTGGCACTCCCTCTGATTTTCTTCTGCAAGTCAGAAATGTGTGAAAACTTTGCGAGGAGTCAGAGACCAAGCTCAATACAAGTTAGGCTAAACTGCAGCCAAAATGAGGCCCTTCGAGACTAAACTGCAAAAAGGTGAACAGCTGTTGCAAAGTGATTTGTTTCTATGCAGGAATAGGCCATGCCCCCTCGGTTTAAACAAATGGCCCAGTCCCAATACTGCACGGCGCCCTGCGGTCTTCAGCACTTGGAGAAAGTGCGCGGTACACAAGTGTGCAAATAATTGCCGAATTGAGACTGGGGGGTGTTTCTCAGTGTCAAGGCTCCTGGCCTTGAGAGGCGATGTCTTGCGAGGTCAGGCGCCTTGCTTACGAGGACACGGTCCTTGGTCAAAGAAAACGGTTAAATGGAACAGACTTGCATCACGTGACCGCGGCTTCCACGGCGGTCACGTAACGTCACGTGACACGGGAGATAACATTATATTTTATATATATTAGTTTCAATATAGATATATAACAAGCCTTTTACTTTTTTAATTGTGTAAGTATATGTTTATTAAATTAAAAATGTAATTGAGTTATTACCTGCTAGCCACTGAAGCTGCAACTACTAAGCTACTAACCAACCATAGATAAATTCTTTGGATCTAAAAAAGACATTTTAAATTAGCTTACTTACTTTTAAAATTGAAAAATTGTCCCCAAAGTAGCTGCCGGCTTCTGATCCACCGTCCTTTTGAAAATACCGCGGTGTATTGTGGGTAATTTTTGACCAAGGCTAGGCTACCAGACCCCTCCCGTGTATCCTTGCTCAGCTAGCTAAACGGCTAACAAACGGAGAACACACGCCTTGGTAGAACATGAACATTGGAACACGTATCTCCTAGGTAACCGGGGCGGGGCCAAGACATCAAGGCAAGGTTCCTTGGCATTGAGAAACACCCAGGGAGCATTGCATCATCGATCGCAAAGCATGCCGAGATGCTGGTCGCTGTGATACTTAAAAAAAAACTTTATTAACAACTTTCAACCGAACAATCAATTATTTGAAATTATTTTGCATTTGTTGCTGCCTTGTCTAAAAGTTTTAGAGCATGAACTAATCGTCCTAAAATGCTTTTATTAGAAAATAAATATGTTCAGAAAAGGAACTTGAGCCTGTTCTCCTGTTGCAATGGATTGTGGGTTATACACTTGACCCAAGTCCGCATAGATGCAGACTTGGGTCAAGTGCGGAACAAGGGGACATAAGGGGCATGATCAACTTCCGGACATCCTATGCACTCGCAGCCCTGGTTGGGACCACACAATGCAAGGGTGCAGGTGTGGAAGTGCGAGCATTGGGATTTGACCAGTCTCTTCTGGGCTGTGTGCAGGTGAACCAATGAGATACAGGTTTTACAGAAAAAGCTGTTCTACATTTGCAGCAGTGATATCAGGACTGCAGCGACAGACCCTGCGGGTTTGACACTCCGATCCAGCAGCTTTCCTCCAAGTGTTGTGGCAGCAATAAAGACGGGGGTCTTTTAAAGGCTGTGCATGATGATGAGTGGAGGGAGGGATCAGAAAAAGTTCAATAAAACAACCTGAGGCGGGGTGAGGAGGGGCACTGGTGCTGGAGAGGCGCTTGGGTCCATTTGAGTCCCACACATCCCTCACACCTCTTTGCCTGTTGCCACAAATATTTGAAGTGTGGCTGCTGCAACAATGCTAAGGCCTCTGAAATGGAGAGCAGAGCAAACAGGCTGGATGGCTCCGGTGTTTACTCTGGGTCTTAAAAAAGCCACACTCTAAGTACCATTCAGACCAAACCAAACAAACAGGAGCTGTTTGAAGAGGCTGCTCAGGGTCACTTCCTCTCACCTGCAAACATTTAGCTGACTTTTGACAACAAGCTTCCTCTCATGGAGGAGTTTCGTCCATCCTGGAGCGTTAATCCAGACAGACGTTCCAATAATCCCAGAGTATAATCCAGAGACTCAGGAGCAGCATGCAGCTGGAGAAGCTCCTGGAGGAGGAAGAACTGTTGGTGTAAACTTCCTCTCTGTCACTTTTCAGCTCGTAATCTTCATCCTCGTACAGGTCCTCTCCATCCTGGTCCGAGATGACGCTGTGGTCTCCTATGGAGCAGAGCTTGCTCATGTTCTCCTTCACCACCTCGCAGAAGGGCCTCTCCACGCCGTCACACACGCAGCGGTTCAGCAGCATCCCGTTCGGGATGAACAGCATCTGCTGGATTGTGGCTTTGCATTTGGAGGAGCACTTCCGGCCGTTGAACAGCTGGCCGCAGTGGGACAGGTAGGCCGTGAGGGAGGCGTGGCAGCCGCTGTCCTCCTCGCAGCGCTGGCGGGCCTCCATGCAGCCGATCCCCCCGGCGTCGCTCGGGTGTCTGCGGGGCAGGCACGGCTCGATGGCCCGCTTGGTTCTGTGGCAGTCCAGGTCCTGCGCGCAGTCGCAGTTCTCCAGGTCCGGCCCGCTGCGGGTGTTGTTGAGGCGGATGAGCGCGTTGATGCAGTGGCTGGGACACTGCCTCCTGGTCCCCCCGATGTTCCCATCGCACGCCGCCAGGTACTGGCTGTAGGCCAGGTCGCACTCGCGCTCGTCGTGGCACCGGAGGAGCGCCTGCCAGCAGATGAGCTGCGCGTCCAAAGCCACCAGCACCGGGAGGAGCGCCAGCGCGCTGCACCCACATCGCATGCTTGGCTCAAGTTGTCTTGTTGCTCTAAGTTGAAGACATTTAGGATCCAAACCCTCCAGATGAATCGCAGCAAAGGAACCGAGTTTCACCAAAGTTCGTTGCGTAACTTTTCCACCAACGTTCCACAGACGTTCTCCGCCTTTGCGTTGTGCTGGTCCGGATCTGACTCGGGAAAAGCTCCAGAAACGGTCATGTCCGGAAGCATGTCCACTCAGAGTCCGTCCCGTGTGTCCGCGCGGCCGAGCTCAAATTCTAGACCCAAACGCATCATTGCCGCGGCTTCCAGGTTTTCCTGGCGCTGGTTCCAACTTCCATCCGCGCTTTCCAAACTTATTTATCCGTTTCTGCAGTTGGGAGAGGTTATCTGTCCCGCTACGTGCGTCTTTGTCCAGTTTTTGCTTGTTACGCTTCACGGTCCGCCGAGCATTTCCCCACAACACCCTCCCTCTTCAGAAAAAAAACCCGAGAGAGAAAGAAAGGAAAAGGTGCCCCGTCTCCTCTCCCTCCCCTCCTCTCATTTACGACCCTGCTCACCGATTGGAGACCCACTTCCAGACCCAGATCTGCGCTCAGATCCTCAGAAGATGAAGCTGCACCGAGGCTGTTGATGTGTGGTCTCCTCCTGGCTCCGCGTTTAAAGCAAAAAACACGAGCTAAGGGGTGCATTCATTCACCAGAAGCCCACATCTGCAGCTTCTTTTGCTCCAAGTTTCAGAAAACACCAGATCAGGACCGCGCGCGCCTCCCCCTCCGCTCTGTCACTCATTCTGCAGAGTTTTAAACCCCGATTGAGAGAGGAGAATGGGGGAGAATAGTATTTTCTGGCCCGTTTCACCCTGATTGTGTCAGACTGGCCATGCAGTGGCCCCAGGTCTTCTCCAGGCTGGAGATTGTTCACGCGCTGCGGCCTGTCAACGGAGAGGCTCCGGCATCAATATATTTTACAGCTATTCCCTTTCACACCACACTTGAGAAATAGCAATGGCCCAGACTCTGCTGCTATTGAAATGGTAACTAGGAGGTGTGTGTGAGGGTGGGTGGGGGGGAGAAGGCGCCACTTCTGCACAAGACATGGGTGCCCGGATTACACAGAAAGTATGATTTATGAAGTTAAATCTGCTGGATGTGCAGGAAAAGCAGCTTTAGGAGCACATTTAACTGTGTCCAAAAATACTTAACCCTTTAGAACCCACACGCTTTTGAATGAGATTGGAAAATACATCAAGATGTAGAAAACAGTTAAATTGACAAAAGAAACAGAATAATTTTCGATTTATGTGTGGACAAATTGCAGTGGCGGCTGGTGAAAAATATTTTTGGTGGGGCTGTGCTATTTTTATTTTTTTTAACAAACTTGTGCTTTCTGAGCTTTGTGCAACTTCACTATTTCCTGAATTAAGCACAGCTCTTTTATTTCCTGTCTTACATTATTGGACAAAGGGATTAATCCACGTGTGTATGTACAGTCTATGGTCTGACTATTGGCACACTGCCGTGCGGACCAAGGTTGAAAAATACTGCATTAAATTGCACATAAAATAACATGACCATATATGGTCCACATCCACATTACAGTTTGTGAAACAACTGGAGAATTTCATCACAATAATATTAAATAAACAAGTATGTACCTGATCTTTTGCATGCTGTTGGTGAAGCTCTGGATGACCCCTGTGATGTAGACAGAGTCAATGTTCCTCTTCTGCAGCTGGTTGAACAGCATGTCCACATGTGGCATGATCTTGTGACACAATGCCAGCAGAAAGCCAAAATCTTCTTCCTCCAGCATTCTCACAAAGCCTCCTGCCTCTCTCTGAGTTATTGGATCAAAGTCATCCGAGTCTCTGATCATCTGGAAACATCTGAGGAGGTCATCCTTGTGCTCATACACTGTGTTGACATCTCTCTCTTGGACAAAATGTGCTGGTTCTGATCCACTTCTTCCTTGTGTTTCTTCACTGCGAGCCTGTGCTCGTCTCTAGCTGCATGGCAATGTTAGCTCTGCCTAGCATAGCTAGCTTCTCCGTGTTGTCCATGTGTGCCCGGGATAACTCGTGTTTCTTCACCTTCTCTGAAAAATGTTTCATGTCCGTAACTCCTGACTCAATCCATGCCTCATCTGTCCCAGCCGTTTTGAATAACAAACACAGAAAGCAAAATAACGCATTAGCGTGATTGCATCCAGCTAGCCAAGCCTTCCTGGTGTACCAATTTCGGGAGAAGCCGGTGTATACAGTTTACGTCTCTCCTCCTCCTGCTGGCTTATCTTTACGTCGGGCTGATTTGGTCCAAGCTCTTTGACATTAAGTTTTTCCACCATAGTTCTCCTCTCGAACTGATACTGGAGAAGAGACCGAACTGAATTCAGTGGCTGCTGAGATCCGGTATCCATGCTGGTTGTAGGCTCACTGGCGTGGCGTCCATGTCTATTACATCTGCGTCACGACCAAAAATGTGCTGGAGTAGTCGAGACTCTGCCGAGTTCTACCGAAAACCAACGAAAGCCTTGGGCGGTACCTCTATCGCCCATCATGCTTCTGAATCGACGTCGACGCTGATTGGATACATTCCCATTCCTACCGTTTGATTTTCTTGTCAGCAATTGGCCGGCTGCTTCCGTGCTGTTTGGGCGATTGAAACACAGCCTACAGCCTTTCTGTCGCCTCCACAGCTCGGCAGAGAGCTTCTCACCAATATAGATATATATATATATATATATATGATTTGTTTTTGTTACAAAACACACAATTAACTTAGAATATGTGATTATTATTAATTTTATTTATTTATTTATTTATTTAAATAAAAATTAAAAACACTGGGGAAAACTGGGAGGGCGGCGCCCTATCGCCCTCTACTGGCCAGCCGCCACTGACAAATTGTAAGTTGGGGTTTTCAAACCTGAATATTTGACTCAAGAAGCACCTTTGCAGATGTTTCAAATGGGTTGTGACACCAGTGAGGGTTGAAACACATTCTCATTTGTAAGGCTTTTAAAATATTTTCAAGTAATCTAATTTTGTTGAGGGCTATCAATTTATTATTTAGGTTTAGGCAAAATGCAAATGTACCTCATAAGTCTAAGTCCTATTATTACTGACGCCTTCCTCCTTGTGGTAAAGTAACACTAAATGTTTTTTTAACTCTAGGCTATAGCGCTTTAATGGTGATAGTGATCGTTAGTACTTTACTTGATAGTTTTGTGAGTAGGTGTCCTATAGGGGGAGCTCTTTACCTGCTTAACGGCTGTTAGCTGTAATGCTAGCAGTTAAAATTTTCAGTTCCCCGGTCATTAATAAAAAACACAAGAAGAAGAAAATTAAGAAGTTTGCATTTGCTGTTTTTATCATGCTGGAGCCAGACTCACCCGCTCTATTCTCCATTCTGGGTTTCACTTGCGTGACGTCTGCAGCCGTGCAAAACTCAAATGGGGGCAGGAAGTGTTTTGCTCCACAACAAAACACAGATGCAGCACAGCACGGTGGATGAAAGTGACTTTACTAAGGCTTCAAATGAGCTGGCACAGACACAATGCTGCAAAAAAAATACATCTTTCAGGTTATAACCCATGTAGTTTTAAAAGTCACACTTTTTATACACTGTGGAGGATTTACCCAGCGCTGACGCGATCTGCAACAAACTACCGTGTGCGGCCTTCCTCATATTACACTGTAAAAAAACAAAACAAAAGCCTTTTACCCCCAGTGAGTCGTGGTGGATGGCTGCTTACACAGAGCCAGGATCCTCTGGAGGTTTCTTCCTGTTAAAAGGGAGTTTTCCTCTCCACTGTCGCTAAATACTTGCTTATATGAGGATTGCTGTAAAGACACGGACACTAGTCAGTGACTCGATGCAATTTGCTGGGTTCCTTATAGGAAACTTGTTGCTGATTGGCTTAATGAACTCACCTGTATTGGAATGTTTACTCTGCGAGACGTCTCTTGTCGTGATTTGGCACTTTATAAAAAAATAAATTGAATTGAACTCCAAGCCTGGAAGCCTACAGCTGTTTTATTTCAAGTTGGTTAAGCTTTTCTTGATCCGAATACGTTTTAAATGATTGTCGTCTTGTTTTTGCTCGGGTAAGTAGTGAGTTGTGCTATTTTTTCATTAACTCATGATAATAATGCTATCGCTAATGCTAACGATTAGTATGTGCTAGGATCTTGTAACTTTTAAATCCAAATTTCTGGTACATTTGTTTGATTTCAACAAGGCATAAATGCCACGCTACAACTCTTAAGCTAACTTCTAAAACCATTAGACCTCTGAAAGCTATTTGAAGCGAGGACACGTGAAAACAGCATAAAACTGTTCACCTGTAGTTTTTACGGCTGTTTCTCAGCAACTGTTTAGTAAAACACTTGGTAATCTCTTACCTGTTAAAAAGGTATCGCTGTAAACTCCAGCGTTGTCCATTTCAGCTCCTGTTTTAAGCCGTAGATTACTGATCCAGTTCTGCCATCTTCTTTCAGTACATTTTTCAAAAATTAAGTCCTTTGTGGCGCTCTACATTCGGGACTTGAAAAAAAAAAGTTTGTCTTTGTCCCGATTAGAGTGGTCGTAATAACCGTAGACCGCCTAGCGTTTTGGCTTTTAACGCCCAGTCACTGTCTGTTCTGCATATTGAGAAACAAATTTTTACTTAATTAAAAATAAATGGTCACTCTGAGTGTTTCATGCGGGCTGAACATGAAAATAGTCTCCTACACCTATCTCCTGCATTAGCTTCTGTCACTTAGCGTTCATGGACTCACCCATCTTGACTCAACAGGGAAGGCTGTTGTTGGTTTAGCGTCCAGGAAACAGCAGAGAACGTCTTGGCTAGTAGAAGCTAACAGTTAGCATTAGCAATTCCACCACACAGCAGAACTCCCCCAGGTTTGTGTTATTTATGGAAATAAAACATCAGCGTTGCAGATCAAACTGAGTCAGTGGTAGAGTTGCATTGCTGTTAGCCAATCAGAAAAGAGATATCCAAATATCAGGAAATAAGACTCCAAAACCTGCCGTCTGAAGCTACCTTCTCCTCCAGCTGCATTCTCCATGCTTATAGAGGCGCACCGGTGCTTTTTTTCCCCCCAGAGTGCGACTTCCAACACATTCATTCCTACTAGAGACCACTGCAGATGTATTACAAATATGAGTGAAGGACCTGTTTAAATTATTATAACTAATCACATTTTGTTAGTTTTGTGCAGTGAGCCAACAGAAAAGGAACAATTAGGGAACATTTGTACAAGTTAAAAACTTAAAGCTAAAGTGTTTAACTTTTACAGAGTTGTGACATCTGGAGCTGGATGTATCCCAGGTCACGTGACTTTATAAAAAAAGATCAGTCATCCAGTCTGCAGCCCCACTGCCGCTCTGCACCCATCAGTGTATTTTTGTCTCCATCTGGTGTTCGAGCCGCTGCAGAAGAGACCGAACGCTTCACCGGTCACCGAGAGCAACCACAACACTGCGTTATCATAAAAATCAGTTTATTGCAGTTAAAACTCAAACATCAGTTCAATATTTCCAGACAAGTTGACAGAAATAGAGAAAAGAAACAAAAAGAGTCCGAAAAATGAGAAGCGGCTGCGTGTCGTAGCAGCCATTTCATTCAAAATCAGCTCCACGGGTTCACAGCACACAATTCACATTTAGAATTCATTATTGTTGTTATTATTATTGAATAAGTGTTTAAAGTCTCACACACAAAGCAATTTGATTTATGGCTTCTCTTCCACCTATTATTATTATTATTATTATTATTATTATTATTATTATTACTACATCAGGATCAAAGATGGCAGATTCCAGTAGCTCCATAAGAACATAACTTATTGCAGTTTCTCCTCTTATATTCTGGATATATTTAGAATATAACGCTCTTTTATCACCTGAAAAATAAAACATTGCACCTGAAAGGCTTCGAGCCAGTCTTCATTTAGCAACGGCGGAGCGCTTAACTCATTCACTGCCATTGACGACTAAAGTCGTCATTTGCATTTTTTTTTACTGTTTGAGCATTGGAACGAGTCCCCGCGCTGATAGAACAAACATCTCAGCCCTGAAGCCGATCTTCATCCGCATACGTCACAGATCACATGATCAGGAAGCAGACCATCCATGTGTTAGGAGATCGTTTTGGGCCGTTCCTGTAAAAAAAGTGAGGCGCGAACCGGAGAAGCATCTGCCGATCACAATTCAACAACGGATTATGAAAGAACGGATAACGCTCGAAACACGCGGACTCTTCCTGATGTAAGAGGTGAGTCTCCTCTTTGTTTTGGTTGTTTTGGCGTCGACATCATGCTAGCGCGCAACGTTCTGTGACTCTTAAAAAAACAGTAAAAACGGTGAGAAACGCTGGCAGCGAAGGCCGTTAGCGATCAGGAAACGGCTGGCAGTGAATGAGTTAAAGAAACTCCTGTCTGTTTAAGGAAATTAGATTTGAAAACTCCACCAGTTTTCCTGATAAATCACACAAAAACGAGTCAAAAGGAAAACAAGCAGCAGAATTACAGATTAAAACACTGCTATGGACCACTGATCATCAGTGGGAAATGAAACAATGAATGTGATGACATGAACAGCGCCCCCCTCTGGCTTTAGTTTGGAGGTAAACCCACGCTTTGTGCTCCGTCACACGACGACCAGCTAAAGGACGGGATCTCCGCTCCTTTAATGGACTTTTTTAAATGTTTCTGTCCACAAAGACGACGTTTGACACATCAGTTACAACAACACAGAACCCACCAGCACGGGACGGCACCACGGAGACGGCGGAGATGGAGAACCAGGAGATGGTTAAACAACACGAGACCCAGCAGTTCGACGGAAACCGCTGCAGAACTTTTTACGCCTCAAACAAAATGTAGACTGAGCTGGATTTAAACACACGAGCTGACCTCTTATTCTCTTTATGGTGGTCTGAGTGTTGTCAGCTAGAGCTTTGGCATACACACTCCTAAAGAAATCCCCCGTTTCCAACATCCGAGCAGCGCCCCTGAATGCAGCATATGAACAGATTTACTCACGATATATATTTGATACCAATGTTATATTCATGGAAGCTGGGTTAAATCTGGGAGCACGGTTACTGCACTAGATCACACGTTTATACAACCTACAGGTGGCTGCAAGTCTTATCTGCACTGACCCCCCCCCCCCCCCCCCGAGTCCCGAACAGCTAAACAAACAAGAAGCTTCGTGCACGGCTAATATGTGTTTTTACATGTTGGAGCTTTAAAGACGATAACCTAAACATCAAGGCACGCAGAAATACAGGAGAAGCTGAGAACGAGAACGTCTTTGTAGTGAAACGTCTGAGAAGACAGCAGCAGCAACAGAAAACCAGAAGATCAGCGTTACTTTTGCTCCAGAGCAACACTTCCTGTCTGAGGTGCCATTTCTGCTTCAGGAATAAAAAACACCTTCATGAAAAAGCTATTTTACTATCATTTACTTCAAAGAAATTCAATAATTTAACATTAAAATATATTTTGGCCTTTGTCAGTTGTATTTCGTAACATAAAATAATAATTCCCATCCTTCCTGTTGGAGACGGCTTTTTGAACAACCTCAGTTCAGTGAAATTGAGTTTATTCCTTCAGGACTAGAGAGCAGTTGTGTTTTAGGAGATCTGATGTGTTTTTGAACAAAGTTTTCTAGTTCTGCGTCACGGTGCAAATAGACAAGCCCAGACTAGCTGACAGCTTTTCAAAGCGCTAATGTATTGCTGTTCTCTTTAACCGGCTTCAATCTCCTAAATTTAGAGGTGAAATCAAGTATTGGATCATGTTGTCGGTATCAGAGTAACCAGCCACACTCAGGTCCTGATCTCTGTTGTTGACTAACTTTCTGTATTTTACTTCAGCATGACATCATCTTGTTAGTCTGCTCTCTCCAATAGTATCCTTTCATCAGGAGCTGGAGGCGGGCTCAAAGGGACCAAACACCAATAAAAATGTGCGTACCATGTTTGAATCACTGGTCACATGAGCAGATGACCAGATCTGCTGACCTTTAAGACTCAATTTGAAGCCTAAACTAGAACATTTTGAAAAGATTAGAAGAAATGTAGAAAAATATATAAAAAAGAACACAAGCAAAAATGTTTCTAATTAAAAAAAAGGAAAAATACCTTCAAACTAAGAATGAAAAAGAAAGTTTAAAAAGTGCAATCCTTCAAAGTCTGATATAAGAAACAAAAAACTAGATTTAAAAACTGAACGTTTTATTGTGTAATGTTAGTATAACACCTAGAAAACGGATATAAAATAATATAAAAAGCAATATTGTTGCTTTTACATCAATATTCTTATTTTACAATAAATTCTAACCTTTATTACCAAAATGGATTGAAAAAATGCAAAAACTAAACAATTTCTTCACCTTTGTCTTTGAACGTTAAAGGTTTAAAACCTTTAACATATTCACGTCTGTCTAGGAAAAAAAGGTTCAGGCGTATTGGATCATGATTCTGACGTAAACATTTATAAAGTGACATCACGTGCTGTGAAATTTTACCTTTTTTTTAAAGATGGAAGCCACGTTTGGCCACTAGCCGTTAGCTCATCCGTCCTCAAGAACATCACATCTATTTCTCTTAACAGAGGCTGTTCTGGAAGCCAACAGGTGAGACAGGAAGTATGACATATAGATCAGCTGCAGGATTCATCAGTTCAATTATTTAGTTTGTTAATTTAAAAACAGTCTGAATCTAAACCAGCCCCCTGACCGCCGCTGCCGAGCCACCGTTCACAGCAGGAGGAGGAGGAGGAGGAGGAGGAGGAGGAGGGAGAGCGCAGCAGAGCGGATAAACGACTGGACACAGCAAACCCACTTCACTCAGAGCAGGATGGCCTCACCTCAGAAATAATCTCATTGGTTTCATCTCAGTTTCATCAAAGTGCAAATTGGTTAAATTTGGTGAAACGACATTCAAAACCTTCAGGAATCATTTTATCTGGTTGGTTGTCTAAATTTAAACTCTCTGCTGATGCACATTCCACTAAGACAATGAGAAAACGTCTGCAGCGAGGGGACGTCTGCCTCTGATGAACATCTGAACTAGGACTGACCCAATCACATCAGGCTGCAGTTTTCTGTCTGCTTCTTCAGGTCTTCCAGCGTGGCCTGGGCCTTGTCCTTCAGCTGGTCGATGTCCACGTTCTGGATGTTGGACAGCTGGCCCAGGACTGACTGCTTGTGCGTCTCCTCCTGGTTGTCCTCGGCGATCATCTTGGCCAGCTCTGTGGGCAGAACCACATCGTCCCCGGCCTGCTGGATCTGGGTCTCATCCAGCTCGTTCTGAGGTGGGGAAACAAAAAATTTAAAATCGCTTTTTGATGATGACAGAAAATACAATTTGGATCGTGGATGTTCTTTAAACGGTTGATGAATCCACCTTTGGTAGTCGGTATTTTTCCCGGAAGTGAGTTCTAACTGTGGCTCTCTCGGCTTTCTTCTGAGCAAAATTAGCTTCTCGCTCTCGTCTGCAAGAAAAAGGACAAATGATCATTTTACAGGAGAACGTCAAGAGGCTGTGACGTGATCCGAGATGAGCTGGGACGCCGTCGAAAAACCAAAAAGGATGCAACTTCCTGTTTGCCTCCTGATTCCTGGTTTCCCAGTTTGTGGGTTTTCCCGCAACCATGAAGATAAAACTCTAAATCAATCAATCAATCAAAGCTTTATTTATAAAGCACCTTCCGCAACCCTGTCAGGAAGCCCAAGGCGCTGAACATGGTACAGTACAAAGTTAAAGAAAGTGAATAAATCCGAAAATAAAAGCAATTCAAATTACAAATTACAAAAAAGGTGAAACATTCTAGTCGAAGACAAATGTGTAAAACAAGGGAAAAAGTGAACCAATGAAAATTGTGAGATAAAAATCAACATAAAAGAGGGCCAAAATCAAACATGTTCAGGAAACGCCAAGCGGAGGAGGTGGGTTTTTAGGCGACTCTTAAAGACTGGCAGAGATGGGGACAGCCTAACTGAGGGTGGCAACTGGTTCCAGAGTGACGGTGCTAGGACTGAGAAAGCCCGGTCCCCGCGAGTACGACACCTAGAACGAGGGACAGCGAGCAGGCCTTGGTCAGAGGAGCGCAGAGAGCATGACGGGGAATGTCTGTTCAGGAGCGTGGCTAGATAGGGGGGAGCACCACCCTGGAAGAAATGATAAACAAAGACGAGGAGTCTGAAGTGTGAATGATAGCAAACCGGAAGCCAGTGCAGGGAGGCCAGAACCGGACTGATGTGGTCCCGTTTCCTGGTCCCAGTCAGGAACCTGGCTGCGCTGTTCTGCACAACCTGTAAATGCTCAAGTACTAACTTCTGTTATGACTCAAAACAAAAAATAACTAAATAAAAACAAGAATCTGAGCTTCTAAAAAGTTAATTGTGATTTTTTTAAAGGTAAAGTTGATTTTAAATCACATCCAAATGTGGCCTGTATTTGATATAGCACCTCCTAAATTCCTAGAACCCCCCAAGGTGTTTTACAACACAGTCCCTCACCTGTGCTCACACATTCACACCCTGGAGGTGACGAGCTACAATGTTGTTACGGCTGCCCTGGGGCACACTGACAGAGGCGAGGCAGGTTGAGTGTCTTGCCCAAGGACACAACAGCAGCATTCTCTGGTCGGAGCTGGGATTGAACCGGCAACCTTCTGATTACTGGACAACCTGCTCCGCCTCCTGAGCTTCTGCTGCCCTCTAAACAACGTGATAAACAAGAAGTCCCGTTGCCTCATTTCTGAGCCTGTTTGGCTTTGTAGTGCCAGAGAAGCTAACGCTAACGCTAATACAGGCTACAGGGAGCCTTAGTCACGCCAGTCGACTTCCGGACCGCGGGTCCCTGGAAGAACAAAAAAATGAATGCAAGTCAAAAAAAACGCTTTTGTCTAATTCAGCTTATGTGCCAACGATTTCACTACGATGTCTGTGAATTTCAAAGAAGCATTTTGACACCAAGAACGCGCTTATTTTCAAACAGCGGGAAATTTATTTTAGGTTTTGTGTGAAAATAAGTCCAGGACTCCAAATGCGCTTCAGGAAAGTGGCGTCATCAAACCAGACACGGAGAAAAACCGAGGAAAATGGCTGTAAGTTCAGTTTCGCTTGAAATCCTTCCTTCAGGAGGAAAGAACGACCATAAATCTGGTCAGGTAGTGAGTAGCAGCTACGCTAGGGGGGAGGAGATTATGCGGCGACGTCATATACGCGACGGTGTGCGTGTGTAGTCATGCTAAGTACGAACTTTCACAAGCTGATAAATCTCAAAGTAGGTGACTGGCGTGGTCGAAACCCCCATCATTAGTTTTCATTTAAATTAAAATAGAACATGTGTGCGATCCGGGGTCAAAGGCAAAGCAGATTAGAAAAAACTCTTTAGCCCCGTTGACTTGCATTCATTTATTTTCGTTCTTCCAGGGACTCATGAGCCGACCAGAAGGGGAGTAGACTTAGGCTCCCTGAAGCTCAAACCGTGGTCCTCACAAGCTACTGAAGGACCCGAGACTCTGCGTGTCGTTGTGTTGGCTGTTTGGTGTCTTACGGTTTGAGATTTTTCATGATTTGAATGTTTTATCCTCTGGAGTTTAATATTCGAGTATCATCAGTAGTTATGTTCGTCTACGCTCACTGCAGGGGTCAGTTCTCTGCATGTCTGTTCACATGGTAAACAACACACGATGACCATCAGACTCCAGGGTGGACAGCCCACAGACCTGACCTGACCCTCATTCTCAAGAGATGCGACGTGACACGCAGCGTGATGCGTCTACTGGAACATGGATGCTAAACAGCTTCCTGTCTCACCTCAGTCATGTAAAAGTTGGATTAAATGCAACGTGATAATCCAGATTTTAGGTGATTTGTTAAACATCAAATACAAGCTGGGATCTTGGTTTGATTTGAAAAAAAAATCAGACTCATTAAAAAAGAACTTGAGTAAAACTGATCACATTTGTACTGCCTGCAGTGTGAGCTCACCTCAGCACCATGCCACCTTCCACACCTGTTCCCTATCTGCTAATCAGCTCCTCTGCTTCCTGCCAGGACCTGCTGATGCCAGCTCTGTGGGTTTTCTGCTCCCGTGGTCGTTCTGCCCCTCAGTCTGGTAGGTGTTCACTATTATTTTGCCTGTTTTTCTTCTCACCACTCATCTAAATAACTCCGGGTCTGACAAAGCGACCAGAAAGATAAGAGTCATGCAGGCTGAGCAAACACGTGTAGCATTTCTGCTGAGTCATTCCAACATCCATGTTTGTTTTAGTTCTGAGGTGTTTTAAAAACGGCACCACATGCTGGTAAAAGTCCTGTTCTGTCTCGTTCCCTCCTGACTGCCAGTGGCAGTAAACAGAGTGGATGTATCTCCTCGCGCTCTGCGCAGGTCGAGTATTCATGTAAACAAAGTCACGCACGTGACACGTAGAGCACCTGGTCGCGAGTCTATAAATTTCGCGCCGATAGCTACGTTCGGGTCTCCCGGGATCTTCTCGCCCGAGAAGTTCCGAGTGACCCCCGTGACTGGCAGTCATCCAGGAACTCAGAGAACCATAGTTACACCGTAACTTCCGTTAATCCATCACATCTGAAGTCCAGCAGTGTGGTGCCTCCAGCAGGGGGCAGGCTGTTGGTGTGTTGTTTTCTCTTCACCGGGAAGCTTGTGGCATCATCATCTTCATCACTGACCCCTAAACATGCTGAAATGTCTCAAACTGTGAAATCTGGTTGAAGAGGATGTTACCATGGAAACCAAAACGGATTCTGTGTCATCTGAATCCGTGATTGGTGGTTTTCAACAGAGCAGATCTGTATGTGGTGCTGATTCTAAAACAATGCAACTTTAAAAATGCTTTATCACATTTAGCTTTAAATAATAAATAAGTGCGTGGCGTTGAATCAATCAACATAAATTAGATGTAAATATATAAAGTGACGTCTAAATAATAAATGCGATTTTAAAATGAAACGTGCCGCTGTCATACATTAAAGAGTGCCCTGTCTAAGATCTGAAGAATCCCTTTCAATTTGAGGCTGAGTTTAGTTTAGAAATGCAGAAAGAACTGGAATCTTGATTGGCAACCCACGTTTAGAACTACACCGTTTTAAAATCAGGTACTTTGAGGTGTTAGAGGGGAGATCTCTTCACCAAGCTTTTATTTTGGCAGACCTCTTCCTGTTTATAATGATATGAACTAGCGATTTGGCTAGTTTGTAATTATAAATGGCCACACATCTAGACTTTGACATGTGACTTTGTACGGATTCTAAATATTTAAATAGAAATTTTTTAATTTAGATTTTAATATAATTTTATTATCTGTAAGCAGACAAAACACTGACGTTCCTAAAGGAAAAGGCTTGAAAACTCATCATTGTTATAATAACAAAGTTAACGTAGTTCTTTTTAAATTTAAGATCAGTGCTCCATACTGTGATGAAAGATGCTGAAGCCTCCCTAACAAGAGTTTGGACCCCCAGGAGGTTCTGTGTAGTTCTTCTAGAACCCCCCCCCCCCCCCCCCCCCATTTTTTTCTGCTTTAATCTGAGGAGAGGGGCCTCCTCTGCCATCATTTGGCTCCTCTGACCCATAACTCTTCTCCACTGAAGGTCGCGTCATCATGAGGAGCATTTGGAGCTCAGTGGGCCGGGCTGAGTGTTAATGACTTCACCTCCCACTGGTTCTGAAAACGTCTGCACGCGGTACCAGGAGACCGTTTGGAGTCAAATACTCATCAGAAGGTGTTGATGGCAGTGAGCCACGAGTTCCTTTCCTTTCCTCTCAGTGGGACCAGTTTCATTGTTCTGATCTGAATCTTTATCTCAGATTATGTTTTATAATTATTCCACCAGCAGGGATTTTAGAGTTCTGACACTAATCAATAGTGAGCTGTTGTCTGGGGCAACTCTAACAGAATGACCTTGTTGTGCTCTGGCTCTGTGACCTTAAGTGTTTCCTGGAGGGATTTTAAAAGCAAAACACACAAAAAACTCAAATTCTAACAAGAGATTGTTTAGAAATCTCAAATACACACGAAAAAAGCAACAAAGGCAAAAAAAAATCGCTTTTATTGTGGAAATTAAATATTTAGGTTAAATTCAGATAACTTGGATAAATAACTCGCACGTGATGGTGAAAATCACCACACACGGATGTTTGCTTTGTGGTTATTTGATGTGTTTGTCTAATTTTTCGGTTGGACGCTCGACCCGGAACATTTCTCGCTCGTGGCTCAGTTCGGGGAAATGATGATGATCACAGAAACGCGTAATTTCTAACCGAGATTTGACCGGAGCGGAGATGGAGAGCTCCCTGGGCGAGAGGAGCAGCTGTGTGGAGCGCGCGAGCACAGTGGCACTGACGCGTAAAGATGCGCTCTGCGCGCTTTCTGCCTTTTACACACAAAAGGAAACTCTCCGCGTACGCATGCAGCCTCTCTGTTCTCCTGAATCATTCTGGTGATTTTCATGCATTTACAATAATAAAAGAGGCGCGCGAGGCTTACTTTTCCTCCTCTAACTGTTGCTGATACTGTTCGAATTCCTCTTGAGTCATCCCCTGCGCGGCGGCGTCGGATTTCTCCCCTTCAGGTTTCTCCTCCGTCAGTCCGCCCGTCAGGTTCTTCAGCTGCCCCCCCACCACATGTTTCACCATGAAAGCCATGGCTGCGGTCCGGAGGCTCCTCGCTTCTGTAGGGCGAAGTTACGGGCTCGGTGCGCTATTGGAGAGCGTGGAGATGTCCACCAGGCGCGTGGACGGATGCGACGCTGTAAACGGGAGCTGAGCCGCTTCAGCACCGCCGGTCCCGGACAGCTCCTAGTCGAGATGAACGGACGGATGGAGCAGAGCAGAGCAGCTCGGTTCTGAGTCAACAAGTTTGGCTCTGAACTCTACCAATCTCAGTCCTCAGCCACCACTCCTCCCTCCCTCCCGCCCTCCCTCCGCCCAATCCGCGGCACGCGCGCTCTGCTCCGTGGGCTGCGCGCGCTGATTAGACCCCGAGATGGACTCGGAACTGGAGGAGACCTGACTAAACTGTTCTGGTGTCCATGTCTATCACGGGGACATGTGGGAATTCGTCAACACTAATTTGCGCGTTGGGTCGTTTCAGGATGCGTTTGGAATGATTCGTGCACGAGGCGCGCGCTCTGCTGCTGAGCTCATAAACAAACAAACAAACATGCAGCTTTTACATATTTGGTCTCCTGATGAGCCTCTTTTCTGCAACAGCTTCCCAGCCTGAGCTTCTCTCTCCTGCTTCCTTTCATGTTTCTGGATCTTTGATGTTTGGAGGTGAAAAGTTCAGCTTCCATCGGGACAATTACAATAATTTCCTGCTTCTGCGTGACGTGGTCACGTCATCATCTGTGAAAACTATGACCCACATTTTGTGTGAAGTAGTTTAAATCTCAGTAAGAGTCTAGACAAACCAAAGAGCGGAAAACAACTTTGATCAGTCGTCAACGCAGCGTCCTGATCCTGCAGCGGCAGCCTGACACCCAGCTTGGCCTACTTTTCCACTCCCTGTGGATCAGGGGAAACGTCTTTCTGTGACAGGCTTAGTGAGGCCCTCTTAGCCCGCACCTACACCTCGCTCTCAAATCTCTTCTTTCCAACTTCAAGGCTGGAACAGAGTTTAGTCTGAAACATGAAAGCCCTTTAATCTCTGCTAAAATCAACTAAAAAGGAAGGTTTTGCCCAACCAGCATGTTCTAAACATCACTGAGCTTTTGACGGAACCTGCTCCGAGCTCCAGTCCCGTCGTGATGTTTATGGACAACAGGAGCTGCAGCGGGAAACTTTAATCCCAGATTATTCTAAGCATTACGCTACCAGTGAAACTCCAACAGAGTCTGGACTCATCCCTCATGCCAGCAGGAAGACGTTCCTGTCATCTGGACTAGATCAAACCTGAAGGTTCCTGGTGGTTTTGTTTGGACTTGGGCTGATTTTTCCTTCGCGTTCAGTAAAGTTTTAATCTGACCTCTGAATCTTTCAGGTAATTTAACCAAATCTATGTCAATGCACAACAGTTTAGCAACAACACCAGAACACAATCTTCTCCAGTTGGTTCCAACTTCCTAAAGCTCTGACTTTCAGGTTGGGTCATTATTGAAGCCCACTGCGTACTTTGTCCTCCAAGCACAAACTTCAGAACATCTGTCATAGTTGGTTTGATATGATGACAACTGTTTTACCCAGTTAGATAGTCTAACTCCACCCAGGCAGTTAATAATGAACAAACCTGACCAGAAAATGGTTTCTGAATGAAATTTAAAGTCCCGTTTTTCCTCAAAGGAATAAAAATCTCTTGTGACGTTCAGAGTTTCAGTGTCTGGGTCATTTTAATGCTCGAGGTAAAGATGACTCTCCACCAACGTTTAGCTCAGTAAAACTACCGAGTTGGAGCCATTTTTGTGTTTGCTAGTATTGATTAGCAGGGGTGGCCGTCTGTAATATGATTTAAATTGAACATTGTTGATTATTACTGATAGTTTCATTATGTAAACTGACCTGTGGCAGCCTTTGAGCTGCCATGTTGGGTCTCTACTGCCTCTATAAACACTTCCAATGTGGAACGAAAGCATCCATCCACTTTCCTCCTCCAACCGAGGAGTTCAGAGTTCTTCAGCCCGTTTCGGTCCCACATTCACAAAACAGCACAGCATTCATGTTACGTGTAATTATCTCATTTTCCATCGAATACTGTGGGTTAGTTAGTATAATTTATTTTTATGTACTTTGTATTTATGTTCAGCTTCCTTTATTCAATATTTTGTAAAGTCTCTGCATAATGAGGACCTTTAGTCATCCGTGGTGTTGCTCTACGTTTATGCTGCCTTCATATGGTATAACTGGACAACATTTATGAACCACTGGTTTGAAGGCGAGCACAAATGCTTCGTGCTGTGTCGGTGTCAGTTTCGTTGAACCCGGTTTAGAGTTGTTAATTCTGCTCTCACAGTTTCTTTGGCTTCGTCTGACCTGACTTTCTGTATATTTAACCCTTTCTCCAGCCCTACACCCCTATGCGGGCTCTGAGGAGTGGGGATCTGAGGCCTAGTCCACACGTAGCCGGTTTTTAAAAGAAACTAATATCCGCCCCTCCAAAAACTTGCATCCACACCATCTCATTTAAAAAAAACTGTCCACACGTACCCGGATAAATACGTTGTTAAGGACATGCCAGACCCGTAGGCGGCAGTACTTCCCCCGTTCTTAACCTCGTCCTTCGTCTGTGGTCTTCCGTAAGGAGCAGTAATTCCGCTTGCAAAAACAAACAAGCAAAAAGTGCTTGGACAATTGATAAAGTGAGCGCAGCTCTGAGGGCATCCATGCTGTCGGCTAGTGTAAACACAGGTCGCACACGTGATGTCAGCATTTTTTTGTCGCAGAAAGTGACGTTGCGGACCTTAAAACTCCGGTTTTGTCTGTCCACACGCAGACACCCAAAACAGAGAAAACGTAGATCTTCACTTTGGCCGGAGTTTTTAAAAAGATCAGTTTTCGTGTGGATGACAGGCCAAAACGTACAATTCAATTCAATTCAAGTTTATTTATAAAGCGCCAAATCACGACAAGAGTCGTCTCAAGGCACTTCACATAATAAACATTCCAATTCAGGTCAGTTCATTAAGCCAATCAGAAATAATGTTTCCTATATAAGGAACCCAGCAAATTGCATCAAGTCACTGACTAGTGTCAGTGACTTTACAGCAATCCTCATACTAAGCAAGCATATAGCGACAGTGGAGAGGAAAACTCCCTTTTAACAGGAAGAAACCTCCAGAGAATCCTGGCTCAGTATAAGCAGCCATCCTCCACGACTCACTGGGGATCGAGAAGACAGAGCACACGCACGCACGCACACATGCACGCACACACACACACACACACACACACACACACACACACAGAGAGACAAGTACTATCACACTAGAGGCGACCGTTCATTTGAAGCTGTAGCCCCCAGGCTCTGGAATAATCTACCCCTCTCTCTGCGTTCGGTTGATTCTGTCGACAAGTTCAAAAGTGAGCTTAAGACTCGTTTATTTGTTCAGGCATTCGTCTAGTTATTTTAGGGCTGTTACTTCTCAGTCATTTGTTTATAGATACTTGTAAACGGTCACTGATGTCATTTACAATCAACTCACTCAATATGATATGAGCTGTAATTCTAGTTGGTTTGATGATTAAAGGATATAAACATCTTCTGTACTCTGGTCCCATTAGGATTCAACAGATCCCCACAGATAAACAAGACATGTATTGTCCAGACTCTGTATCTACTGATGCTCTGCAGATACCAGCTCACTACATTTTCCTTCTTTCCAAGCAGACCTCTATTGTAATTCCATCCCATCATCTAGTTGTCATTTCTTCTGCTCGTTTGTACTTAGAGAAGAAACTCCCCCACCTGTTTATTTACCCGGTTCATGTGGTTCATTTCATAACCACTTATCTGAAGGTCCTCCTGTTCTTCCACAGTGAGCCAGGTCTCTGATATGGCTATCAGGTTCAATTATTGGAGTTGAATCAGGAATGTATTGATATTGTTAAAGTCAGCAGATAAACTTCTGCTTTTGTTGAGTTGTTCTTTAGAGTAGGAACAGCGGCTCAGATCACTGTAGTCAGCATTATCATGGTGAAATGGGAAATGGCCTGTATTTGTATAGCACCTTTATTTAGGGTTCTGCAACCCCCCAAGGTGCTTCACAACACAATCAATCAGCCATTCACCCATTCACACACACATTCACACGCTGGTGGGGATGAGCTACGATGCAGCCACGGCTGTCCTGGGGCGCCCTGACAGAGGCGAGGCTGCTGAGCACTGGCGCCACCGGTCCCTCCGACAACCACATCAGGCAAGGGGGGTTAAGTGCCTTGCCCAAGGACACAACAGCAGCAATCTCTGGTCCGAGACGGGATTGAACCTGCAACCTTCCGATTACTGGACAACCCGCTCAACCTCCTGAGCTACTGCTGCCCCCAAGACAGTCTCATTGATGCAAAATAAACTGATGATTTGATTCCATCCAGGATGTTCATATCTTAGTGATGTGTATGTGTCTAGCTCCTCTACCTGCCTGATGTACGGCACCATAGCCTCCTCTGGTGACCCGTTCAACTTCCTGAACACCTTGCAGTTTGCTGTCCAGGTAGACTGGGTCTTCTTTTGTTTCATTAAGAACTGCTTTTTTTGCAACATCTGCATTTTTCTTTGTCAGGTGCTCATTTAGGTAGATGTTGGTTCCTTTGAACTTTCTTCCTTGTTTCCTTCCTTGCAAATGAAATTATTTTGGCTGGTTTCTGTGCTTTACCTCTCCGAGGTAGAAGATGACATGGCTCAATATTGATGATGGCTATGCCTTGGCTGTGGAAAAAGTAGTAACCTGTTGCTGTATTGTCTCTATATCAGGCTCTGTGGGCTCGCCACCGTCTCCTGGTTCCAATGCTCTGGCATAAGACCATGGTCTTATCTTCTTGGTGTGGGAATCTGGGCTCAGCCTGGTGGCTGGTGTGGGAGTCTGGGCTCAGTACGGTGACTTGTTGTGTTTGTTTGACTCTAGCAGAACGTGTGCAGGTTCTCCACAAGATCTGGCAGATCCAGTGATCAATAATCCCAAGAAAACTTCTGCAAAGTAGATGAAGGTTGCAGAGCTTCAAAGTTTGGAGACTCATTCTGGAAGCTACTGAAAAAATGAATAATGAAAAGCTGAAGAGAGTTAGTGCAAAGAACCTCGTGAACATGTTTGGTATGGACCATAGCACTATTATAACGTAGGAAAATAAGTCTTTTCAAGTTAACCCAGTTGTTTTAGAGGCAAATAAATACTTGAAAAGAAG